TACGAGAGATGTTAAACCAATTCTGGGACACCCTGTATATATATATACGCAGTTTTTCGCACAACATCCTGCGATCGGCTTGGATGACCGTAAATATATTTCTTAGTTTAGTAACTTATCGAGCTTCAATAAAATTTAATTGTTAAAAAAAGTATTGTTGCGTTTTTTTTTGTTTGTGCTTCTGATTTATTATCGTCATTATTATCGTCATTATTATCGTCGTCGTGCGACCAAAATGTGCGCATGTTCGTGTGCTTGCTAACAGAGATGGCATACATGTACGAGCGCGTTGAAAGAAGATAAAAGAAAGAAAGACAGGAAGTGTGAGTTAGAGAAGAAAAAAGAAAGAATCATCAAGAGGCACGATAAATAGGTAGTGCTTCACGTCGGCGTGGTGATTTCGCGCCGGCAACACCTCCGACAGTACCAATCGCTCCGACAAATGATACTCGCGGCGTGATGCGTTTCGAGTTTTTCACGATACGTGACTAAAGTAAAGTCACGTGACTTTGGTCGTCGCGTGTTGTTTTTCCTCTCCTCCCTCTCTGTATTTTTCGAGTTTGATTTTTATGCGTCACTTCTGACACTTCTTACGTGTACAGTATATAAAACACGCGATAATCTATTTTGCGCGTAACCCAACCGAATCTAACCTGACCCTAACCTATATTTTGAATTTTCCCGATACAAATACGGACGACCCTTCGCGCGCGCCACACGCGGTGAAAAATATAAAAATACGAAATATAAAAAGTTTTTCCTCTGAATCGGACGTATTTTGTCAAACGAGAATTAGTCACTGTCCATTTCATGTATATGACGATTGATCTCAATTACGGGGGAGACAATCGAGCCGCAGCTGGTGACAAATTTCAACAGCCATTGATTCGTTTTCATTTCATACCCTTATACAAAGTACTCGACGGAAAAAAAAAAAAAATAGATTCAGTGGCGCAAATGAAATGGTGTGCGGCGGCTGCTGCAGTAAATTGCCACAGATTATTGAGTAGGTATACAAAATCAAATGTGAATGCTATCAAAACCAATTTGTTTTCCGCGCACATATGGTTTTTGTGAAAAAAAAAAATAAAAAAATAAAAATAAACAAACTATACATTCTCGCGAGAGCCGCGTGACAGTTTTATGAACATCGTGCTGGTTTACGGGACAATTAAAAAAATTAATTGCGATATTACCCGCGCGATTATAAATAATCGTCCGGGGAAACGATGATGTATGAATCGCGTTCGCGATAAACGCGCTTGAGAATTGCGTGTCTCTTATATTAAGTTAAGACTGAAAGCGCAAAGTGCGAAGTTTCTTCCACAACAGGTACACACAGCGTGAGAAAGAGAAAACAGAAAAGAGCGAGAGAGAGAGAGAGAGAGAGAGAGCGAGCGAGAACTGCATTACTTTGCAAGCCCTTATGAAACTTGAAGAGTGCAATTTCGAAAAGTGTATCTCCTTAAATCAAGTCGTCTAAAGTGATACAGTGTCGGAGTTGCTGCGGCGCGCAGGCGATAATTAATGTAAGAAGTCGAGCCGCCGTCACAAATCGTCGGGACTGAGTTTGCGTGGGCCCATCAAACTTGCTACATAAATACCGAAACTTTTTCGCGCGGTGAACGCGCGCGTATGTGCCCGCGCCGCGCGCTCTCTTCTCGTCGTGACACCCCGAGCGAGAATTTGTCTTATTTTTTATGCAACGCATAGATAACAGCGCGCGCGCGAGTCGTGCGAGGTGTGTAATTAACCTGTAGCTTAACTTTGTCACATGATTTATAGCTGTCGTCGTCGTCGCCGGGTCACCCGGTAGCCGAGAGTCCAAGTTAATTGTGCGCACGTCGTGGCGCGCGGATACCTGCGTGGATACACAGGTATACACCCGAGGACATCCGTTTCTCTCTTTCTCTCCCTCTCTCTCTCTCTCTCTCTTTCTGCCTTGCGGCGGCCTTTGTTGTCGAGCGGTGGGTCCTGCAGCAAAATAGCGAAAACCACGCTATCAAGGAAGACCGGCCGTGAGGGTGGGGGGAGAGCGACCCAGGGGTGGTTGTACAAAAGTTTCGCGCGAATAAATCTCCAAACGCGAGGCGTGCACAATGGGAAAGCGGGCGCTGAAAGGGCGTTTAAGCGTGAATTATTGTTTACCACGAACGCGCTCTAAGACAAAAAGGACGCTTAAAGTGGATCAGCTGTTTTCTATCGCGCTATTATCTATCCTAGTCGCGGCAATTTCGTGTGCGAACGCCTGTGTGGGAGAGTCGCCGCCGACTCTCTTCGGACACAATCGTGCCACGGACAGACGGATTCCGCCGACACCGCCACGACGAAAACGCCTCTCCGTGTCCGCGCGCGGGTTCGCCACTCGCTCGCTGAAAAGGGACCCGCTAACCGCTCTAACGTTCCGAGAAATTAACCGCCTAGCCGCTTGTACGTCTGACGTATGCAGATCGCGCCTCTCCAGCCCGCGAGTGTGTTCCAGCTTAAGAGCCGCACTTAAATGGGAAATTAGTCGTTTTTTCTTCCGTGCGTAATGAGCACGTGGAAAACCGCTTTTTGAAATCTTTTATTCATTCTTCAAGTTCGCGCGACACGCAGAGAGAAAGAAATATGTAATAAAAAAATATATAAATATTTATCAGCGAATAATGTTGAAAGTATTAATATTTATTAAAGAATGCCATTCTCCCAAAAGTATTTTGCATATGTATAAATATTTTAATATGAATGTGGATACAAATGAGTGATATATTTGTGTTTATATTTTAATAACGAGTATATAGATAAATAATAAAAATTAAATTTCAAGTTATTATCGAGAGGAAAATGTCTGTTGAATTTTTTCATTAGGAAAAATCAACATAATGCGCGACTCTTTAAATAAGAGGCGATGTAATTCCGAAAAAATTTTTATTTGTCGCATTCGCGCATCGTATGTGTAAAGTGAATTTACGCTAATATAAAATACATATTAATACGAAAAGCGCACGAGCAAATTAACATCCCCGAAAGCTCTTATCATGGCTGACGGTTGAAGACGGCTTACGCGCAAAGCCGGTAATCCTTTATGCCTCGTTTGAGGGATAGATGTACGTTAATAGCATATATATAATGCACTTACTTGAATAATACATTCGGGTTTAAGGACTAGTACGTAAGAGACCGTATTATGGTCGAGAGTACACCTTGCGCGAGTTTGTTGCACGGATTGAAACTTCTCAAATAAGAAGATTAAGAGAAAAAAAAAAGAGTTCTCGCCTTCTATTACAGTTGAATATCCATGTTGAACATCTATGTATCTTAACTTGTGTGTGGGAATAATTAAATATTTTTCAAACAAAAAACTGAGCTTTTTTCACTGAAATTGTGAAAAAGAATAATACCAGAAACAATCACGAGACATTCTATTGCAATCAGGTGCATTTAATTAAAAATAATGTTTTTCTCACATTTTGCCAGTAAACAAAATTATTGTCATAAAAACACTGTTAAAGTATTTAAAAAAAAAAAAAAACTGTAGTTGCGGGAGCGAGTTTTTCTTTCTGTTGTTATCTGCGAAGAAACGACATATTTTTTTTTTTTTTTTGCGTAAACAATTTCGCACCTGAGGGGAGAAAGATTGTCTAACACGATATCAGGGATGAAACATTGGTGTTGCGGTGTCAGGAACATTTTCAGAGAGCGATAATTAAGTCAGACAACACTCTTCGCCGTCATCATCATTACGATTCAAATCTGGAGTCATCAAACGGAAACGTTCGCGCATTATTCCGAGTGCCAGTAAAAACGGACGAGCCTCTTTGTGCTCGTTTCGCCGCGGTTGTTTTACGCGGGAATACGGTTTACCCGCTAATGATTTTTTACGTTCGCGTTTATTAACCGCGCGCTCGTCTCGTGTATTTTGTTGAATTTCCATAGGCGCGCCACGAATACATTGCGGTTACTTGTTGCGAGATAAGTTCGTCTGCGAGGCCGCGTGCACGGCGCGCAGGTGAAGCAAGAATTGTCGACAAGTTTCTCTTTATGCACGAACGCACTTTAGAAGAAATTTTATTGCTTCCAGAGAAGTGCCCTACTCACCGCGTTTGAAGCTTGTAAAGTATTTTGTGCGAAACTTGTGTGTGTCGAACTGGCGAGGATTGCGAGCGCGCGCAAATATCATTGTCGTTGTATGTGTATGTGTATGCACGTATCTCTATCCGAGTCGTACAATGCCACGATGCAAAAGTGTCGACAAAGTAGCGATGAAAAAGAAATCCTAGGACGCGCGTATCGGGGGAATTTAATTCAACAATGACATCTGCGACACTGTGAGATTTTTTGCAAAACCGGGCAACATTTTTATATTCTCCGCACAACGAAAGAGAATCGCGTTATAATTACGTTTTTTTTTTTTTTTATCACAGAGAAATTCGGGCAACGCGGTTAAAAGATAGTTTTCGAGACGCGATCGTATAACAGAACGCACGTTCTATACTCGCTTCGCAACATAAAGCTACAAGTAGGAAACTTAGTTGTGAGAGAGAAGCTTTCTCCTCCGTCCAAGTAATTGGAGCTCGTAATACTACCTTCAGGAGTGGAGAAACCGTGGACATCAAACCGCTAACCGACAGTAGAAACTTGGACGGACTAATCGATCGGGCGGTAAATCACGTTTGATTTAACGTGGAGCTCACAATAAAGTGGAATGGAAACTGGCGCGCGCAGATTCGTAATCGCACAAAGGCCGCGCGCGAGAGGTTAAGAAAAGGTAGTGGGAAACACGACGGTACGGGGGAGACACGGGGGAAAAGCTGTAAGCGGAAAACTCGTAATTTATCCTGTTTCCAGTCTTGATGCCGGGGCGTTTCCGCGACGCGCGCGCGCGCGCGCGCTCAAGCTCCTGCAGCGATTTTCCAAGAGCTTCGCGGAAACGCGGCGACGCGAATGTCATTTCCCGACGTAAATTAAGTTTGAAATCCTGCTTATTTCAGCGTACAGATCGATGAAAGCTTGCCCGGGAACAACTATAGTTTGAAAGAGAAGCGGGAAGGGAAACCAGCCGTGATTCATATTCGATACAACTGCATTAACTCGCTCCGTTTAAAGTACGACGCGTGTGTTACGTGCAATTCGCGCGCGAGGACGTAAACTCCGTTAACCACTCGCGGAATGTTCAAATTAAATGCGTAAAGCGTTTAATTTGATCAGATTATTACTCTTTGAGAAATTCTCCTACATTAGAAACTCACCGCGAATGATTTCGCCTGATATATGTGTATGCGCAAAATTGCAATCGGGGTATTTGTGTGCCAGTCGCTGGTTTGCGAAATGTTATAACTGTTTAACAAATTATTGTAGTTTACTATCTTCGTATCTCTTTGTAAGTTGTTTTATTCTTTTGCTTCTATAGAATATTTTTTATCGCCGATAATTACTTTTCAGTGTTATTTATATAGAAAATATTTATAGAAGAAAAATACTATAAAAAAAATTTAGTTTCTTTCACGTGTTCAAAAACAAAATTAACATATCTTATGTTAAAAAAAACGGATGTATGGTTAATTAAAATAATCGAACACGAAAGAACTGCGATGACTGATCTCATGAATGTGCGTATTTATTAAAGAGTTTTCGGGACTTTATGGACTTTGCAGGTATAGAGACAAAATTTGCTGGATCGAGTTGTAACGACCTCGTAACTTCGGACGGAGCTGGATCGACGATAATTAGCGGTCATTTTGATCAAAGGATCAGATTTTGGGATACCAGAGCGGAATCCAGCTCGAACGATATCTTGCTCGAGGGCAAAGTTACGTCGCTGGATTTATCTCGCGGTAAGTAAAATTAATTTCACAGTTGTTTGTATCTTTATAAAAAAAATAAAAATATATTTAAAAAATTGAATCAGTTAAGTCGATCAAAAGTTAATTTTATTAATGTATGGAAAACAATGTGTGGACAGTAAAAAAAAAAAAAAAAAGCAAAGATGTTAATCGACATTTCGCGGGAACGCGTCAGTACGCAACGCGTCGCGCGCGTTTCTCACATGTGAATTTTATCTCCGCGTAACAATTATTTCAATTTTTTTATCGCAACGGCCTAATCACACGAATGAATTGGCTCGCGCAATTTTCTCAACATCCTTAAAGCGCACTTGTATCGGGTTACGAGTGTACTTCGTTGATTCAAGAGCGCTCTTCATTCAGGTACATATTGTTCTATCGCATTTCATTAATCTCGATATTGCCAGAATGCGAGATGAATTCAAGAGTGAAGCAGCATCGCTCTGATTGTTAACTTCCGCAGTTAAAAGCCGGTGTATCATGTGTGCCTCTTCGATATTTTTCGTGCGCTCACGTTGTTTGTTCGAATGCACATAGCGCGCACAGGTATGTGCGCGCATTTTCATTTAATTTCGTCATATATATATATATATATATATATATATCATTATAATAAAGAATAATTATCGCACGAGTTGTTTCCTGCATTCATTTAAAAGAGAAATTAACGAGAATTAACGACGAATGCGAATGACAGAGTCATTCGCATACGTCAGATCGATATGAACGAAATTGCATAAACCGATCGTTTCGATGCATCGTGAACCGCAACGCGCATAAATTTTCGTGTGCCGGATTTTTCAGCGCATTCGAAATTGTTTGGATCGCTTATACATTCCGTAAACGTTATACTTTTATTAATAATGACAATGCGCGCTCCAAAATATATAATATTTGTGTGCGTAGTTGAGATTTGCAATCTCGTAAACATTTGCGCGCAAACAATTTCAAATATTACTTCATCATACGCGCCGCGCCGCGATTGCATCTATTTATAAAGGGGCGCATTCTATTTGCTTGCAGACGCAAATTACCTTTTGAGCTGCGTGAGGGATGACACGGTCAAGTTGATTGATTTGCGAATGAAGAAGATTGTTGGGTCGTTTAGGTGAGTTGTACATCATGTATATACTCGTGACTAAAATAAATTTACCAAATGCAGTAAATCACCGCGTTGATTTATTTTATTTTTATAGCGCCGACGGTTTCAAAGTGGGATTCGATTGGACGAGAGCCGCTTTCAGTCCTGACGGACAATACATTGCGGCCGGTTCCGCGGACAGTTCCGTCTTCATCTGGTCTATAGCAACGAACGCAATTGAAACGATACTGAAGGGACACTCGTAAGTAGAAATTATTTGATATAATAAAAATACGAAAAATTGTGGAACATTTCTCTCTCTCTCTCTTTCTATCTATCTATCGATTATCTTTTAAAATGTATAATCTCTCACCGCTACGTAAAAATCAATGTGAAAACTATTACAGTCATATCGTAAAATATAAATTGCAATTATAAAGGTGTTTCACAAAAGTGGTTGCAGAATAATTCTACTTAGTTAATCGAGCGAAATGTATGGTTCGACGTTACATAATATGCAATTTGCAAAGCGCATTCTCCGATATAGCTTTCAGCGAGCGTTTGCATATTATATGTTCTTGAATAGCTTTTTTTTTTTTTTTTTTATCCAAGAGACAAAAAATTACATTTCTCTTTTCGCATCGATCGGAATGTGCAATAACGATATTAAAGCTTGGACCTATTATAAAAAGGACGTGTATACGGGAAGAAAATAAATTTTTGTATGTCATTTTATGTGCTTGATGAAAAAGAAACATATTAAAAAAATTTTGTTCTCTCCGACATTTTATCGAATATTGATCTACAAGAGGCTAATCCGAGATATTGGAATGGCAAGTTGCCGCGGCGATCCTTCATAAAGCACGTCGTCTTATCTCAATACGGTCTGTTTTATTGCAGACTTTTTATTTACAATACGCGTCCGACAAACATCCGCTTTGTATCGCGTTATTATGTATATAATATCGGAGTCCGTGTGTAAATAAATTATATTATTATATTCCCGTAACGAGAAACGATATCTCGCGCAAAGTGTGCAATTACACCTGAAGCTCGTAATCCCGATCGTTTTATTAACTTCTTACTCTGTCAGCGCGTCTGCGACCGTTGATCTAGAGACCGTTTTCCGTAATCCGGACGACAACGACATTTTTCTCGATCGCGCGCCAACAACGCGCGACTTTATTTGCGGTCACGAAATCGATATCACCGCACAGTCCGCTGTTAGGACCTTCGTACGTTCTATTTCGGGAGGGGGCATCTCCGCTTTATAATTTATTTCTTTCTCTCTTTGTCGTGTTTTTTTTTTGTTGTCACAATATGCTTCGAACCGACGAATGCGAATTTCTCGTTTAAATTCGCTCGCTGGAGCACCAAAGCGCCCGTAATTTTACGAGGCACCTTCAAGTGCTCTGCATACCCACCTGACACGAAAAGTTCCTCAAGTACTTCGGTCCTCCTCCGGTCCACAACGCGCGCATGTATATACACACACACACACACACACGAACAAGATTCGCAGTGAGTAGAGAAAGAGACAGGAAGGGTATCTAAGAAAATATTTCGACGTGACCCGATTTCCGCTCCAACTTTAGCACACAACCACGTACACACACACACACACACACACACACACACTCGGTCCGTACATATAGATTCGATATAAATACATATATATGTATATATATCGAGCCGGGATGACTTGCGATATCGTCAATTTACGTACGCATCCCTTCTCTCAAACTTTTATCGGCATCCACGTCGGCTATCGCCATTGAATATGTCACTCTGAATGACCGAAGATCCGTTCGTCGCCCTCTTGCACCGCCTCACGTAGACGAGCGGAAAACGGGAGAGAATGCGAAAATCCCATAGAAAAGGAGCGCGAGAAACGAAAGTGGCATGGACAGGCCAAGCGCGTATCTCTCGTCCGCGTGCCTTCGGCGCTCTTTCACCTACACAAGTCCCAGGTTTGATGGACGCGCTAATCGGCGGCATCTCCCGGGGAATGCAACATAAGTAAAGAACGTTCCCGCTTCCCGCCGAGGTGCGGAAAATCGATATGTTTTACACATTAAAAACGTCAATTATGCTATTACCGAGGGAGCGGCGGTCAAACACGATATTATCTGTAAACCAATAGCGGGCGCGCGGTTAACAATTTCCGGGTTATTTGGCGCAACAATACCTTTGCGAAATTCATCCTGTTCAATAAATCAGTAATTAACGAATGATTGTTAAATGATTAAAATGTTTATTTTTTTGTAATAATATTGATGTAATATGTGTATATATTTATATTTATTTATTAACAATATACATATATATATATATATATATATATATATGTAGTTAATAAATTGAGATTTAACAGTCTGGAAAAAATGCGGAAAAATCGTCCGGTCGCAGGTCGAAAGGCCGTGAGTCGTGATCTCGAAACGCGGAATAACCCGCGTGTGGTCGTTAAATGGCGATAACGTTTAATTATTCTCAATTGAAACATGTCGTGCTTCGTACCAATCATACTATCACGTCCGCGGTAGCACGGCAATTAGTTATTACGCGTATGTTGGAGCGCTTACGAACGTAAACGGTTTAATAGTTCATAATTACGACGGCGCGCATTTGCTAACGTTTAATGTTTGCAAATTTAGATGACCGGCATAATGGTCCCGTCGTACACTTATTTCTGTCAGATGAACTATGCCGCGCCGAAGCTCCGTCCAATTTTCACACTCTGTGGTTCTTTGAGAGAGAGAGAGAGTCTGTTATATCGCGCTATTCTCCACGGCAGTCAAATCGAAGAGACGAGAAACGGATATACGGTGTCGAAAGAAAGTGTTGTCGCATTTTCCACCCCATTTTATCCACTCGAGGCGCAACCGACGTTCATCATCGGCTTTGGCCGATCCTGGCCTCCGAGTCTCTCACGGATGATCCGTTCCACAATTATCGTCGCTCCCGCCCCGCGCGGAATCGCGCGTGCGCGCGCGCGCGCACGTCTCGGGCGATCGACCGTGCCGTGTCCTCGGCCTCTTCGAGTCTCTCAAGGACGCGGGTTTCTTTGGTGGTTGGCATCACCGAGAGAGAGAGAGAAGCGCCCAGCGGGCGACTCTCGCGGAGAGTCCGGCGTGCATCTAAGTACCGGTCGTATCAAAAAATAGCTTAAGCATCAGTCACGTACATCCGCCGCCGATGTGTGCGCGCGCGGTTCCTCTCTCCTCGTAGTTTGTGTGCGCGTGCGCGCGTTTCACTGTTATTACTTTCACCCCGGCTGAGGCTTGATATAGCCGGCGCGTTCGTCCCGTGGTCATCGTCATCCTCCTCGCGGTCGTCCTCCGTCGTCCTCGCTCCCTTATCCCCGGTCGACAGCACCGCCGCGCGCTCGTCTTCGGCGACTTCGTCTTCGTTTTCGCCTGCGCCAACTTCACCGGCGGCCGTCGTTCGCGGTTGTTGCATCGCACGAGAAGATCGTATAATTCGCATGTTCGTGCTCGCTCAGGCATCCCCGAGACTAACTTAATAAGCGCCTCACCCTTTCACCCTCCTTTTCACCTCTCTCTCTCGCTCTCGCTCTCGCTCTCGCTCTCTCTCTTTCTGTCTCGCTCTTTGTCCACGTCTCGCGGAGACAAGTCGTCGCGCGAGAAACGCGGGATACGATTTCGTAGGTATTTAATGCGCGCCGCTCTCTTTGCCGCGCTTATTCGCGCGGTGTGACTCCTGCGCCGCTTGCCTCTTGTCGCAGTGCGAGATATGAAATTTAGATGTTATGCGAAACGCGCCGGTGCGCGAATTAAGGTAACACAGTCCTAACAGTTTTGTGACGACGTTCGTTTCTGCGATATCTGTACCAACGGAGACGCGATAAACATTACGTATTTATTACGGAATATAATTAAACACTTTATATGTACGAAGGAAAAATCGGCGCGCAAGTAATAACGCGAAGTTCGTAACGAGATGTTTTTTTTTTTTTTTTTTTTGCGCGCGTTAATTAATAAGCCAGATAAAAAAATATACATCGTTAAAGGAACAATATTAAAAAATAAGCGCTGCGTGCGTAATCTCATGCGGATTTCAACATCTCTAGCGAATTCATGTTATTCCCACATAACGTATTTAATTATTCCGTGTTTTCCTCCACTTTCCCGCATGATTTCTGCTGCGATTATATACGTAGGCTACGTAAAAATACGGTCGCGCGTAACACTAATAAGCCCACGGTAAACAACTGCTGTTTCTTCTGTCGCGGGGGTCATTTGGCATAACTCCCCTTTCTGCGAGAGCACTTAGACGCGAACGCGCAATCGTATCGGCTGATAAGCTTACGCGCCCGTTCGTGTTCTAATTTGCAATCAACCGGCAGAATCCGCCAGTACACACGTCGGAAGGCGGGAATTTACTGCGCGATCCCCGACGAAGATCCCGCTTGGCGAATAAATAGTGCCGCGTGATTATAGCAGAACAGGTAATTAGGAGGACTGAGACGGGGAGGATCGGGATCGGAAGGCTCAGGAGCTTTGAGATTAAAGCGCAGTTTCTCCTCTCCAAGGATATTTGAACCCGGCGCATTACGGAATCAGTGACCTCATTATATTCGCATTCGAAACTTCATCCGCGTAGAGCGGCTGCGAAAATGCGCGGCCGCGTCAGACATATTTTTCATTCCATCGCGATCGTTACTCGAACAGTAGGGTGTTTTTTAAAACCGATGTTAAAAAAAAAAAAACAAAAAAAAAACATTGGTGAGAGTAAATAATCGAGTGCGCGTTGATATAAAATATTTTGCAATATTTTCTTCTACAATTAATAATATAAATTTCTTCTACAATTTGTCTTCAAATGATTTGTGATGTTTAAAAATTATATAATAGTAAAACAAAGAGAAGAATGACAAAACAAAAAAGTTTTCTCACGCTCGTTTGAAGTTCGACACGGTCGCTGAACCAATCGCGCGATCGAACATCATTTTGCCGCATGATTTCTGCGCAACCCCGTCGTAACTTATTATTAGTGAATATATACAAGTGCGTAGAGAGAGAGTGCAAAGCACATAAATTGTTATTTTCTTTCGCGACGACTGACAAGTAACGCCTCGTAAAAGATTAGCGCGCCAGTTTATATTTCAGTCACGCATGCGTTCGCGTATTTTACGAGAAGAGATAGTCCACGATTACGGGAGCGTATAACTGAAATCCTGCGGAAAGCAGTTCGATTAGTATATATTTTTCATGCGTTTTTTTCTAGTACTGCTCTCTGCGC